TCTAAAAAGATTGTTAAAGCTGAAAGGCTTTTTTGAAGCTTTGATTCTTTGAAAAAGGCAGAGAAGAGGTACAAACTGTTAAAGGTTGCTAAATGAATTAAAAAATGGGTGAAATAATAATGAAGATTAATCTGTAATGATTTCATTTTAATAGTTTAAAGATACTTTAGCTGATTTCCTCTTTGTTAATTCTTTAAATCATTTTTCTAATGAGTTGTATATTCAAATCCATGCTAGGCAATGTCCACTCAATGAACATATTGTCCATAATAATATCCCTGCCTTTCTATGCAATGAAGATGGATCTGGCTGACTGTCCCAAGGGACTGTTCTACAGCTGTGTTGGTATCAGAGGACAGGATAAGTGGGCATCCATGCTCTCATCTGGTGACCAGGGATGTGGCTAGAAGACTCTGGGGGAATAAAGTCAGTCATAGATTCAGAGTAAACTAGTCTGTGATAAATACCAAAACTTTCCAGAAGACAATAAATAGGCCCATGACTTCCTCCAATAAAAAATTTCTCCCTCCAATTAAACTAATGACATCTAAAACTGCTAGAATTAAAAGCTTTGCCCAAATTGTGAATGTGTTTCACCCCAAGAAGGCAGACCAAGTGTCTGGTATTTTGAGGTATGTATGACAGGAAGTTTTGCCCAGTTTCTGAAAATGACCTTAAGGGCCAACAAAGGGAGTCACCCACTTTACCACTAAGATTGTCAGTGACAGCCTTTAGGACAACAACAAAGAAGGCTTTTCATTCACCCTAAGTCATGAAGTGCAAGGTTTGCAAGGAATCTGGGCAGCCATTCAGCATCTTACCATTCTGAATGGTTCCATGTTTCAAATGATCAAGTCTGTGCTTGAAGAAATAGGATCCAGGAAATTTAAAGGAGGAGACTTTGAACTAGATCTCAGGCTTAAACTGAGCAGATGTTGAAAGCCTAATTATAAGATGACAATAAAATGACAGGTTTCTCTCACTCTTTGTCTCTTGCTCTTTAAAATAACAGCAACTTGAACCTCAGAGTTGAGACTTGAAGCACAGCCCATTTGGTCATATCATGTGCTAGAATGTTCAGATGCTGTGACAGGCTAATGGACACTAGGAATTAGAAAGCAAGGTGCAATCTTTGAGGTTCAGAATAAATTTCCAAATAACATTAGCAGAACTTAATTTTGCATCCCTGAATTTTTAGCAGATGGGGTTAACTTATAATGGAATATTCTTTTTATCCTTCATATTTGATTTGTCAGACTGTTAAGAAGATGCCTCTTTACACAAGCTGTCATGACTGCAATTCATATTTGAATAACTAATTTATTAGAAATTTGGTTTAATAATACATTAAAATACTGTTTTAAAAATAAGGGCTCAAATCTCATGTAATTGCTAGAAGGAGTTGTAAACATAGTACAAGATAATACCAGTTTTGTGAAATTATACATTGTTTTATTATGTAAGTGACCATTTTCTACTCAATTTAATCTTCATAATAAAACTCTTTTTATTTAAGATTTCAGATCAGGAATATTTCTCCCAGTTATGATTGATTTGTAGATCTGCTTCTGAATTAAAGTGAACAAGACCACAGACGTGTCAGACGAGAAAGAACGTTTGATGTCATTTGAGGAGAAGTGTTTCTTTTCTGAAGCTGGCTCTTGGTAAAATGCAGGAGCAAGGCACAGGCTCCCACTGCACTGCCATCTCCACTTCCCCTGGGGATTTTATGGGGAATCCTTGGATTTATGAACTACTTTACAACACCAAACTTGAGCCTTATCAAATCAGTGACTATTACAGAAGACTTGAGGGTCTTTCCCCGGGATTAGTTGCTGCTTCAAAACAACACTGCATTTGAAAAGAAATTCTCCCAGGAACCAGTGGATTAATCTTGCCATTTCTCCATTGAGATAAATGAAAGAAGAAATAATGCCAGCAAACACTGTTCTTCCAGTATCCCCAAAAACCAAACATTCTAGAGTGCAAATGCCAAGATTTATAAGCAGCAGGAAGTATGTTGTGGTGTCAAAAATAAAATAAATCCCCTGCTTATTTTGGCCAGGTGCTTATATTCCTTTCAGATTCAAGTCCAGATTGTCACATGGAAGCAATTTTTCCTTGTGAATTAATCTCAGAAGATTCACCCACCCCCCTGCTCCTCCTGGGCTGCCTGATGGGCTGGAATGTGCCAAGAGAGTAAAAATCAGAATCTAAAGTAGCCCCAAACAAATTTAACTGAGAAGGAAAACCATGCCATAATTAGGACATTTCGTATTTTCAATGTTCCTAATAAATAATGTTTAGAGTATCTGTCCCTCTTATTATCTTTAAATAATGTGATTAATAATACATAAGGCTTACATATTCAAGCAAATTTCAAATGGAAGTGAAGTCATAAATCTATCTCTGAAAATCAAAATCAGAAAGGAAATATGATTTTAGAATTAACCCATGTGACTGCATTGTGTTATGTTCTTCATCAGCTATGTAGCACCTAATCATGGCCTCACAGTCATGGCTTTCTGTTGATCAATGTAGGCTTTCTTAGTCCTATGGCAAAGAGCATTTGTCCTTGGTCTTATAAGTTCTTTTTATAAGAAGCTTTGTAACTCATCATGGTTATCTGTTTTGAATGGCACAGAAGAGATTCTTTTACTGAGTGAGTTGGCCTCAAAGTATCTTCCCATTTAAGTTTCCATAATTCTAAGAGGAAATTTCTTCCTATTTAAGTTTCTATGATTCTAAGAGGAACATTGGAATTTGGCATTGCTCTACTACTTCTCAAATTGGAGAAGGACAAAATGAGCAGAGCAAATAGAAATTTATTTAAGCAAGCAAAATGAGCAGGCACTGTGGCAGGTGCTTTTTACTAGATATTTTATTTAGCATTCACAATAACTATGTGATATAATATTAGTAACTCTCTTTTGCAGAAGAAGAAAGAGAATAAACAATTGTCTCAGCATCACACACTAGGCAGCTTCCATGTCTGACTTGTTAAGTCCACTCAATTTTCAACAATTATCCTTTCTCCTACTTGTATAGTTATTATCTACAAGGATAGATAATTTATAGTTTATAAAGCCTGGATCAGAAACAAAAGCTTGAAATCTGGATGGAGGATTGACGGGTGCAGCAAACCACCATGGCGCATGTATAACTATGTAACAAACCTGCACTTTCTGCACATGTATCCCAGGACTTAAAGTAAACAACAGCAACAACAACAAAATCTGGCCTTTATAAATAATAAAAATAAAAAATCCCCAGCCTGAAGAACCGGAGTTACTGGTTTACTTTCACCAAACTTAGGCAAATTTTGGTAAGGATTATTTAAGTAAAGTCATTTTCAAACTATAAATGTAAAAAACCGTCAAAATTTAAATCCTCCATCTTAAAATTGCAATGTCAACAAGAAGAGAAAACACTCCTCCATTTTGAGAATACTAATGCATGCCTTCTGGTGTGAAGTCTTGAATGTAAGATGCAGGCAGTAGCGACTTTGATCTTACTGTAATTACTTTTACACCAGGCATCATTTTAACATTTGCCTTAAAAGTAGCAGAACATTGATATGCAAGGTGATTACCTACCTTTTTCCCATAAGAATTTTAGACAATATCATTTCTATTTTTGGAGATGGAGTCTCACTCTATCACCCAGGCTGGGGTGCAGTGGTGCAATCTTGGCTCACTGCAACCTCCACGTCCTCAGTCCAAGCAATTCTCCTGCCTCAGGTTCCTAAGTGGCTAGAATTACAGGCACATGCCATCACACTCAGCTAATTTTTGTATTTTTAGTAGAGGCAGGGTTTCACCATGTTGGCCAGGCTAGTCTCAAACTCCTGACCTCAGGTGATCTGTCCACCTTGGCCTCCCAAGGTGCTTGGATCAGAGGGGTGAGCCACCACGCTTTGCTAGACAATATCATTTCTAGTTTGCAAAGATTTATTGAATTAAACCCTCTCTTTATTGTTTTTTAAATAATCATACAAGGCAATTGTCTGCTTTTTTGTGAACCACATAAATCATTTTCTGTGAGAATTTTCCTCTTTCAATACCTTAGTGGTTAACATTCTCAATATAAGTAACTTCAATTAACTTCAGTTTTACAAGCTTAATATCTTGCCAAAGCTTATGATTGAAAACCTTTAGTACTTGCAAGTCTTTTGCATCAAATGTCCAAATCAAATATTTTTAGTCACTTTTTCCTTTGTAAATGTTACCTTTCCACTAATAAATCAATTACTTTTTAAATTGATGTCACCTAATCTAACCTAACAAAGTACAGTTATTAGAACATAACAGTGTCCTGAGGCAGGTCAGGGGGCAGTGTGAGAACTGTCTGACATCTCCCATACTCAAGGATGAAAATATGACAAGCTTCCAATTCAGCGGTTACTCCTGAAACCTTTCCACCAGCTAGCAAACATACATTTCATTCATTATTTTTACCTTTTTAAAATTCTCACACTTTTCCAAATATGTCTGTTTTTCCCCCTTGGAGTGCTTCAAAACAACTTTATCAAAGCATGCCAAGTTAACACCACTTTACTGAGCAGGACAGGATGCACAGACTGGAAAGCTGCCCTGCAAGGAGGAATTTGTTTTTTCCCCTAAAACAACCAGATGTTACTTCTTTAAATATTCTGCAATAACTAAAGTATCCAGACCAGTTGGACCATAACACTATGCATAACCTTACACGGTCAGTCTCTGAGATAATACCAGGTGATAGTTTGGAGTGGTGGGTCAAAGCCTGGCCCTTAACCTATGAACACCCCTGAGCCTGTCTCCTTATTGCTAAGGTGTGCACCAGAGTGTCTGCCCACTGGCACTGCATGAGAGTGTCATGCAAAGTGACTATTAACGTTAAGTCAAGCACTGCGAATCATAACGTGCTCTGCATGCTCAGTTGTTATTATCATAGTTCTGCGACTTATTAAGGGTCAAGGTCCTCAGAAATCAAAGAAGGAAGAGATATGGAGTTGGATTTACCAATTCTTCATTTTCAAACTCCAGGTTACACTGTGCTGCTTCGTCTGTCACAGGTTTCTGAACAATGTTTCTACAGAGAAGCCAGATGGTCAGACTAGCAATGAACATCCCGATGTCAGGTACAAACACTCTGATCCCATTGCCAGCATCAGCTCCCTTTAAGCTATAAAGGAAAAAAAAAAGGAAGGGAAGAAAATTTAGTTCTTGTATTTCTGTGGTTAAACTGCCTTATAGGATGTTTCAGTCTTCTTAATGATTTAAAATTAAAGATGCTCAATTTTTCCCTAGAAGGTACCAGAAAGCTTTTTATTGACCTCAGTGTCTTATAAAACCTACACATTCAGGAAGATTCCAGTGTTCCCCGGAGTTTCAGAAATATTATAAAGAACTCTTGAACCAATTCTCACTCTTAAAACATGCTAATAGATTATGTTATTAAATAAACCACATGTCCAGTAGAAATTCAGTTGTTTGCAATCTCGCTGAAGCAGTTAAAAACTAGATACATACTAGCAGCTAGAAGGTATTTTACTTTTAAAAACCAGGTGCAGTGGCTTACTCCTTTAATTTCAGCACTTTGGGAGGCTGAGGCAGGCGGATCACCTGAGGTCAGGAGTTCGAGACCAGCCTGACCAACATGGAGAAACTCTGTCTCTATTAAAAATACAAAAATTAGCCAGGCTTGGTGGTGCATGCCTGTAATCAGCTACTTTGGAGGCTGAGGCAGGAGAGTCACTTGAACCCAGGAGGCGGAAGTTGCAGTAAGCTGAGAACGTGCCATTGCACTCCAGTCTGGGCAATAAGAGTGAAACTCCATCTCAAAAAAAAAAAAAAAAAAAAAAAAAGACATTTTACTTTTGATATAAGTCAAAGCTAGAAGGAAAATAGAGAAAATGTTAAGGCAATCCTGAAATCCAGGACCTCTTCATTATTTTGTATACTTGGTTGATTTTGTCTTCTGTATTATTCCAAGAAAGGTGGATCCAGTACACTTTTTAATCCTAGAGAAGCAACACTGAACTTAGAGGATTTGAATTCAAGTCTAAGTCTGAAACTTAGTAGCTGCATCCTACTGCGGGCTGATCACAGCCACCTGTTCTGCTGTGCTGAAGGAGTAATACTATTTGCCTTCCTTATTTTATTCAAGTGACACGAGATACTAGGCCATGGTTTTAGAAGAAAATATAAATACATACGTATGAAATAATGCTTGTGAAAGTTCTTTGTAAAGAATGAAACACATATTTTTACTCAGGTCTGCATTTTGAGAAGAGCAGCATCAATTGACATTTAGATAATTTTCACATATATAGGGCATTTTTGTTATAACTGAGATCCTGAAACAAATATATTTAATAATAAAGCAGGCAGCAAAGGCCAGAAGGTGAAGTGGAGAGGAGAAAAAGCTTCAACTGGAAGAGGAGGAGCGATCTGTCTGGGAAGGTAATACAAACACCATCTGTGATTTTGGGAGGCATCCAGGGGTAATGAATATGGGAATGAGAGGCAGTATATAGAGTTGCCAGCATAGCTGGCCAGCACACATCACCGCAGCTGAAATGTGTTCTGGCTAAGCTCACTCTGCTGCAAGACATCAGAGCTTAATAGCCATTGGCAGACTTCTCACACCATTCAGCACACGACATGGGCCAGCCACGTCCCTCATCCGGTGCTAGACGCCTGCCCTGTGTGCCTCTGCAACCCTGAGTGACTGGGCTTGCAGTGTTGTAGCGATGTGTAGTACTGTAACCACAGTACCTATTGCTATTATTAAAAGCCACATGAAGAGCGATTCTTGGCATGTTCTCTGCTCACTCATATAACACAAAATAAACTGTAGCACAAAAAAGGTAATTAAATGACTAGTTAATATGAAGAGAAAGTTATGCAGACTTAGGTTTACAAAATGAGTTTAAAATAAGGAAGATACAGGTAGAGGAGTCAAGTCTGTCCTGCATAAAAACATCCAGGGAAGATAAGACGATCTTTGGAAAAATTAGGCATAAAACTTCAAAAAAGGGTTAAGTCTTTGAAAAAATGTTTATTAGAAATGAAACTTGTTTAGGGAAAGGAAGCAAAATGTAGAGCAATATACCATGTAAATACATACATATATGTGTATATATATTCATATATACTTTAAGTGATTACACACTGTATTTATTTACATTATATGTTATATATTTTGGTAAAATCACTTAAAAATAATAAATAGCAAGAACCTCAGCATCTAGGAATAGCTACTGTTAACATTTTGGTAAATAAAAGTTATCAATAATACCTGCCATTTCCTGAACACTTACTTCATGCTAAGAACTTTAGAGACATTATTAATTAATCCAACCAATCATTGTATTGAGTTAGGCATTATTATTCTTTTACATATGAAAAGACTAAGGCTGCAAAAGACAATCTAACTTCCCAAAAGCCACATAGGGAGAGGATAAAATTATACTCCATTCTCCTCATGTTCACTTTTATGCTTTCAACTGTTTTCTCATGTATGTATCCACATGGCTTTCCTTTCCAATCTTCCTTCTATACATGGTTGTGCAAATTTATAGTTAACAAAACTAAGTTCATTATTTACCTACTGTTTTCAAGCTAATTTGTTCATTTAACATGTCACTAACATTTTTACAACTCATTGATGATTTATTTTTATATATCATCATGCTAATGGACAGACAGTATTTATTTAACTAGTCAACTACTGTTATACATAGAATATTTCCATTTATTTGTTACTATAATATATATAAAAATTAAAACTTAAAGAGTCATCTAATCTAGGATCTCCCAGGAATCAATTCTCAATCCAATCAGATTTGCTTTAAAAATGGTCTAGCCTGAAACTATGAAACTAGTAGAGGAAAACATGAAAACTCCTAGAAGAAAACTACAAAACTACTAGGAAAAAACCCTGTGGAAACACTTCAGGACATTAGCCTGGACAAAGATTTTTTTGGGTAAGACCTCAAAAGCACAGGCAACGAAAGCAAAAGTAGACAAATGGGATTATATAAAGCTAAAAAGTTTCTGTCTAGCAAAGGAAATAATCAACAGAATGGAAAGACAACCTAGACAATAGGAGAAAATATTTGCAAAATATCCAGATGAAAGAAATTAATAATCAGAGTATATAAGGGGCTCAATCTAATAGTAAAAATAAATAACCCATTAAAAACAGGCAAGTGACTCAACAGACATTTCTCAAAAGAAGACATACAAGTGGCCAACAGCTTATGCAAAAAAAATTGCTCAACATCACTCATCATCAAAGTAATGCAAATCAAACCACAACGGGCTATCCTCTCATCTTAGTTAGAATGGTTATTATCAAAAAGACCAGAAAAAAAAATGCTGACAAGGATGTGGAGAAAGGGGAACCTACTGTTGGTGGAAATGTATAATAGTGTGGACACAATATAAAACAGTATGAAGGTTCCTTGAAAACTTAAAAATAGTACCATATGATCCATCAATCCCACTGCTAGGTATATGCCCAAAAGAAAAGAAATTCGTATATCTAAGAGATATCTGCACTTCCATGTTTATTGTAGCACTATTCACAATAGTCAAGATATGGAATCAACTTGAGTGTCCATCAACAGAAAAATGGATCAAGAAAGTGTGCTACATATACAAAATAGCATATTATTCAGCCCTAGGAAAGGAATAAAATCCTATAATTTGCAGAAATATGAAAGAAGCTAGAGGTCATTATTTTAAGTGAAATAAGGCAGACACACAAAGACAATGTTCTCATTCATATGTCTGAGCTAAAAAAAGTGGATCTCATAGAGGCATAGAATAGAGAAGTGGTTACCAAAGGCTGAGAGGGATGGCAGGGAGGTGGAGTGAGAGTAACTGGTTAATGAGAATAAAATTTGTGTTTAATAGCACAGTAGGATGGCTATATTATTAATAATAGTTTATTGTATGTTTCAAGATAGCTAGAAGAGAAGATTTAAAATGTTCCCAACACAAATCATAAATGTTTACTGTGATCAAATGTACTCCAAAATATGTACAATTATTACACATCAACTTAAAAAATGATCTGAAAGAGGGACTGCCCTGTGAAAGCTTCAATTTTACAAATGGCCTCTAAACTCTTACTCCATTAGAAAAATGCTTGTAATAAAGGTTTTAAAATATAGCAAATTCCTTTTATTTGGAGAAAGAATAAGAAAACTCAATTAAGGAGCTTCATTCAAAGTACATTTATATTACAGTAATGAAATTTGATGACTGAATTTATCATAGGAAAATTGCAGAGATTCAATGTATACTTTTAAAGTCTACCTAACATTATTGAACAGAGTAAACTAGAATTGATATCATTAGAATGAGAAAAAATGGAGATCAAGGAAAGAAACCAGTAAGAACAAAGGCCAGGCTTCAGTGACTGTTTCAGTGTGGGGCTGAAGTCAGGAGTAGCAGCAGTAGACTGGTACTACTCAGGTGGATTTTTGGCAATAGATTATTATAGCTCTTTCATGGAAAACAAATTGACTGTGTCCTTTTATGAAAAGCATCATCCCAGTAGAGTAGAGAGGAAAAGACTTCTCAAGTGAAAGTAACAAGAACTCCAGCTGTGGCCTCAGCTGCTTCTTGCACCACAACAGACAGAGCAGGAAAGCCGGAGCCTTATACCTTTCCCACCTGTGGATTGCATTAAGCTTCCAATGTGCAAACAGTCACTTTGAGGCAACAGTCTCAGCTTTGTGCTTCTTGGTCCCCAAAGAGACATTTTATAGCATACATATATTAAGGGAATAAATGAATGTAGCTTGCTAAAGCAATCACTCCACCTGCTGTGATAGAATTTAGCTACTGAATCCAGAATTGGGCTGCGATCCCTACTTAGAATGTAATCATTCAGCCATAGAGGTGCTAAACTATTAACTACTACTTTTGCTTGCTGAGTTATCAAAGCTGTGTGTTCATAATACTGCCATTGCAGAAACAATGATACTTTTGAAAAGTATGTACAATAAACAGGTCATAGTCTGACTGGTATGTCATTTGGAGACCATCTTATCTATAATGTTTCCTTCTTCAGTGCTTACTAAAGTACATTAGTCAAAATGCCAGTCCTCAGAAATGCTGTGCATTAAAACAAAGCAAAACAAAATGAAAGAGAAAAAAGAAACAGTC